AAAGAATACCTAGATTGTGAGTGTTGCAAACGAGATGAGGAGGAAAATATTTTCATCCAGAGAAGGAGTAAATGAAGAATTGGTGGGGGGGGGGCAGTTACCCAGTGAATAGTTTCATTATCCGTACGCTTTAAATGATATTGATAGGGATGATTTTAAAATTCATCTGTAGCCTATCGTAGTGGCTGCACGATCTAAAGCGTGGATCTCGACCTGTCGTTGTTGTTATGATATTCTCGTTTTGTGGGCGTAATGGAGAAAAGAGTTCTGTACATGCTCTGGTCAGATTTCGTTCTTTGAAGTTTTTGGCAAAGTTAAAATGACTGCGTGTAGCACACTGTGCATGGAGATGAAGGTTTGTGCATTTTGAACCTCAGAAGATGAAGGAGAACGACCATTCTTGTGGTCTTCTGGTGAAGAATCCCTCGTATCAATAACTGAAATGTGTTGCGCTGTTTTTTTTTAATGTTCGTCTTATTCTTGTAGAGATTTTAATTGCTACATTAAATGCTTGCGGGCAGTACAATTACGAGTAATTTATATTAAAATAAAAAAAATATAATTTCCCAAGCTGTAATATAATCTCTTTTTTGTTTCAATGCGTCATTCGCATGTATATTATACACCACGCGCAAAAAGGAATCATTTATGCTGACATATGTTCCCAACTATGTACAGTAACCTGCCAAGCAGTCAATGAAGACCAGAAATTATGTGTTCATTCAAAGTTTTTATAACGATGTATTTATCTATTCATCATTTGAAGTTCCAGCAACTGAATTCTGTAATTTCGAATAAAATAGAGGCAAGATGCACTGCGGTTGGCCTATATAAGAACTTCAGCACTTCAGGTTTTCACGGCGGTGAGTGTGAAGACGGCTGTCTTCTGGGTTGTTGCGCCGTGTAGTCTGACGTTTCAGAGGCCCTTGCTACCGCCATCATTTGTGCCATCGCCCTGATGCTGGAGGCAGCAAGGACCTCTGAAACGTCAGACTACACGGCGCAACAACCCAGAAGACAGCCGTCTTTCAATTTGAGAATTACTGAACTGAAATAAGACGCTAAACACCAGAATCAAAACGATAACTTGCTCATCTAGTGACGAAATGTCCAACTTTTTGTACAATAGGAAAGCTCGTTGTCGTTACCATGTTTATAAGAACCAGATACTGGATCCTATCCTCAGCCAGCTGAATCCTGTCCACGTCATTGCACCCTGGTTATCAAATATCCATTTTAATATCTACGTTTAAATCGTCCAAATGTTATATTCCTTTCAGGATTCTCAGCTAAGATTTAATATGTATTTCTGATTTCTTCCAAGACCTGTAACACGTTATTGTTGAAGTCGGTCATAAGAAACCTGAAAACGAACACTGATATATCAGCTTCTGTAAGAGTCGTTGAATTACGTGCAAAATTAAGAAACCCGAAAATACACGGGCCAACCGTAAATTAGAGGCAGAAATTGTGTAAGTTAGTCTACGTTTTATCTTGGTGACTGTTGCTTCTCGTTTTAAAATACAGCCTTTAAAAGGCACTCATTTGTTTTTTTTCTTCTGTTTTTTTACTGAAACATGACAAGGTGGGAAATGTTCCAAATAACGACAGCTTATTTGTAGCCATACTGGAAACATGGCGTCCAGGCGCGGAAGGGGGTGGATGACTAACCAATTCTCTCGTTCCTGCTCCCCGTTTAGATGTTTGTTTCTCATGTTCAAGTTGTCATTAGCTGCGTTTTCTTATTGTATCTAAGAGCACATAGAATTTGTCGTGGACTTCGTGTAAAATATCGCCACGTTATTTAACACAGGAAAGTCGATTTCACTACACTACATCGGGATGGTACGGCGGAAGTCTCTGCACAGTACGTTCGTTGTCTGCTAAAATCTGATCAATCACATAATATTTGTGCTTTGACTTATTTAATTTGATTAAATCGTACAGTCGAGCTTTCAACACGTTTTCACAAAATGAGATGTTTCTTTCCAATAGCCAGGCTTTCATTTCGTCCTTCTTTGATTAAGACGTCGGTGGTTTGTCTGTCTGAGTGTTGTGATACGAGGTGTTATCAATGACGAGAAAGGAGATTGCAAGGAACAGTTGGCATGTTGTTAACCCAGCACAGTCACAAGACAACAATTATCAGGCACAGACACAGACTGTACTGACAGACGGAAACTCCTTCCTTCCTTCGTTGAGTGGTCCGTATACTGGGCACTCCCTACAAGGTTCATCGGCCATAATCGGTGGATCCAGTTCTACCCCGGCTGCTCTCGACTGGTGCGACAAACAATAGTCTGTAAAGTTTGTCGTGGTTTTCTCTTGTCATTCCAGGCAGCTGGGGGGGGGATTTAAAAGCAGTCGGAGACTGATTTCTCACAAATTACCATTCATAATCGTCCTGCCATTGTAACTGTTTAACCTTTGCAGTTAACACAATGTACTAAAATGAACGAAGAAATAATACATTATGGCTTTAAGAATCTGGTATGAGTAAGGTTGCTTAATTAAGTTGCGAATTGATTCTTTAAAGCACAGTGGTAATTTATATGCTACTAAATTTTCTGAAACAATATCGAACCCAGAGTAACATCAGTTTTAAACTGAAAGAAAGCAATGCAGTTCAAAGTCATTAATTAATGCAATTAGCGAGCATTAATATTATTTTACCGATTGAATCATCGGCGTCAATACTCGAACAGTAATCGATATAAGATAGAGTATCGAAATGTGAGCGCTCTTGCGAGTAAGTTTACTATGCACTTTTTACGCGTAGGTGGTTAATAGGCAGACCCGGATATGATGCTCTGTTAGTGTAACACGATTCAGTGTTGAAACGCATTTGCGATGCCCACAGTCAGATTGGGAAAGCTACCTTGTCGCCATGAATCACTTGCATTCCACGTGTGTAATTTAATTGTTCAGCTTGCTAGAAGTCTGCAGTAAGGTGTCTCAAAACATTGTTCTCACTCCAAGAAGGAGAGTTTAATTTGGTTTTGATTTTCATGCTTGTCACTTAGAGAGATTTTATCTTTGTGTAATTACAGGAATCAGTTTGGCCTTAAGTTTCTGTGACATTAAAATGTTGTGTTTTACTCTCTCGTCGCTGTTGGGACATGGTGTTACCAACCTTAATTTTCGTAAAATTTTACAGATAGTGAATAAATGTTACATTCAGAGTTTTGTTTTCCTTGTAGTGGTACAGGGATCCACACACTCTAAAATTTACGTGAGATATTTGTATGGAAAAAATAAGTCCAACTGTTCTAGATTCATCAGGCCCAAGATAGCATTCACTGGCCGACCCTTCTGGACTCACTGTAGCTTTCGGATTAGCAAAAGACGGGAACATTTTTGAGAAACTGATCGATTGAATTCTCAGGAAGGTCTTTGTTCCATGGAGTTAGTTAATGAAGAGACAAGTTCTAAAATTGTTTCATAGGTCTGTAATTGCCTGTAGTGCCTCCTTCGGCACTGTCATGGTACGAGAATGTGCCTTGAGAGCTTGCCCGCATGTGGAACACGTGTTCGAGGAACCTGAGTCCGGTGGCTGTCAAAATTTTAGTTCTAATGCCATTGTCTGGTAGTTACTAGAGCGTCCTGCCACCGCGATATTCTAACGTAACAGAATATTAGCACTGAATTTTCTGTCGTGCCCGAATTTATAACTTGTGTTGGGGAAGGCCGTGGTCTAGGCAATACGGAGTTTTCCTCCGTGGCATCCCCACAATTACTCCATTCACACCCAGAAGAAGGCAATGGCAAACCACTTCTGGATCATCTGCCAAGAACGTATATGAACAGGTCCCAGTCCGAGAAAAGGATGGAAGGATCCTGTTCATATGGACCTGTCCTCAGACAGAACACTAAATAAATAAATAAATATCATGAAAACTGAGTGTTCTGAAATGAAGTTTCCAAAGGATGTGTTACATGACCCGTAGAAGACGTAGCCCTATCCTGGAAAAAGAATTGTTGTCAGTTATGCCTCCTGGTATATGAATTACTGCGTATGTTTGCTGTACAGTTCATGTGGAATTTTAATATCATGTTTAAAAGTTTGAAATATTGACAAAACACGCAATATTTGTTTTTCTATTCCATTACGAAAATATTCAAACATTCATCAGGCCTAATAGTCATGTTATGTGCCGGTGCTACAAATGAACTAAGACAAAATGCATATTTGCGTTTTGTTTTGTATGCCCGATGACATTAGCACTGGCATTTAATTGGACGTTGACAAATTGCAGTATGAGAAATACGTGTTAAACTTAATCATACTGAAATACGCCTGTTTACCAATTAGGATGGTCAAATAGAAGAGGCTGGGATGGTGGAGGCATGCATGACGCTTGGGGAAAAGAGAAATGCATACAGAACTTTTGTGGGAATACCTGAAGGGAAGGACCGATTGATGGATGGTAATAAAATGGGCATTTTAAAACCGAAAAAAGTGGATTAGGGTCTAGTTACATCCTCTTGTAAACACATTAATTAACGGGTCCTTGGGTTACACAAAAGGCTGGGCATTTCTTGATCAGCGACTCTCAGATTCTCAAGAGGACTCAAGAACATTCTTCATCCTCCTCTGTATTAGATCCGAATATTGTCGTCGTTCTCAAATACTCTTAATCTGTCTACGTCTTTCCTGTAAGTTGAGAGACCCAAGCTTCAAGCCCGTGTAAGAGAACAGGTCGGTAACTTGTAGTTTGTAACGTATACTACTACTTTGATGCGGGATAGAAGACTCAAGATTGTGAACTGAGTGGTAATACACACACAAGCCGTTACTCTTTTAATTAGCAAGCACGCTTAAATGAACTATACATGTGTCAGTGCACCACAGCGACGTGGTACTAACCGAACTTCTGGTCTGTATCGAAAGGTACTGACTGCCAGCAGAGTGCAACACATTGTCCGCGTCAGTTTATATGGCGTGTACACCCCATGGTAAAGATTTCGACTTCGCCGGGCTCGGCTCAGTTTTAAGAAACGGAACTACAGTACAGGTATTCGCCACTCTAAAAACATTAGCGCGGTGGTCTCTGCACAGTGGGTTTATAGATTGCTGAACGTGAAACTTCGCTTTGAAGGAAGCTGAAGATCTTGAGAACAAAGTTCTGAGGAGAAGGCAGGCCTTTGAAGCAAGAGAGAAATGGAGAAAATTGCATACCGAGGAGCTTCGTAATTTGTAGACCTGCTTGTAACCTATCTATACAGGCAGATTGTCTTTGGAGCGAAATGAGTGGCGAGCGGGGAGGAGAGTCGGAAAGGAAGAAGGCTCGTAGTGTTGCGTGCGATGGTGGGTGGTACGTCGGCAGTGGCTAATGCCAATAGAAGTAATTCACAGCAAGTTAGGAGAAGGAAACCATTAATAATAACGGTGTACTCTATGTTTTTTAACAGTTGGTAGGACGCCTACTCACGCGACCTTGACGCGGCCCGTCAGACCACGTGGTAACAAGGAAGGCGACTCTCAAGATGATGATGTGGGCTTGCAATCGGACCACGCTGCTCTAAATGATACGTTGATTCAAAGTGGATACCACATTATATGTAATCGTGGTCATGTACCTAAAAGCAGTGAATTGTTTAATCGATCGGTTACATATCAGTGAGTTTGTTACGGAAGAGGCCGCACTGCGGAATGGGTCGGTGGGACCCGTGGCTGGAGCTGGGTGATGCAGAGAAGCCCGGCAGTGTGTGAGATGCACATTGCTATTTCATTCTCTCCTCTTTGCAAATATTGCAGAAAGTTGTGTTATAATAAAAGTTTCTCCTTGTATTGCCATTTAGCAATTTGCTGGGGAAACGTTCTCGGTTTTGAAGTGGTCTTATTTTTTATATGTTATGGAGTGTGGAGTGCTGTTAGAGTACGCTGGAGTTCTTTCTTATTTTTCTCGGTGATGCCAAATGCTTGTTGGCAATCTCGAGTTGTAGCACAGAACTGAAAGAATAGGGCGTTCTGCGCGAGAGTATGAGAGGGGAGAGGGGACTGGCTGACTGGGGTGTGTTGTTCTGCAGTTTTTGTTTATGCTTATAGGTTTCCCCCCTTCTTTACAAAATACAATGAAACACACGAGCGTACTGTAACAGTGGCTATAGACTTATAGACTGTACGTACAGTCGACATGTACTTCCCCTGTTTCTGAGGGATGTCAGAGATGGGTCACACGACTAAAGAATACGCAAATATTAACTCTTTCCTCGTCGAAAACAGTATGTAGACTTGTATGTCAGCAACCGACATTTCCTTCTCTAATTATTGTTGACGTGAATATTATTGAAACCTCTTTTCCAATATACTGACTTTCCATAAAATATTTTTTCTGTATTTTTTCATGGTTAATGTGACAGCGACGTCAAGTAGCTAATATACGATGATGCAGCTCTGAAGATGGAGGAAATGTGTTCCTCTGAAACGTTGGTAAACATCGACCAGACTACACAGCGCAACAACCCAGAAGACAGAAATCTTCATACTCATCGCCCTGATGACGAGGCAGTATGACCTCTGAAACGTTGGTTAACATCGACCAGACTACACAGCGCAACAACCCAGAAGAC